CTCAGCCCTCACAGGGCTGCCTGTGCCTGCTCAGGACAGCCCCGCGTGGACTATGAGCAGCTGCAACAGGGAGCGCTGGCCACAGGGCGGGCGAGGGGCCGCTTTTCCCTGCATTCTGTACCAGCTCCTTCCCTGCCCCCACCCTCCACACACACACTTACCTGAGGTTCCTGCACCGGTGCAGCCACGTGGTCCCAGGTCAAAAGCCCCTGCTGCAGCTTCCAGCTGGGTGGGGGTGGGGCTGGGTGGGCCCTGCTGTTGCGGGAGCCCGCTGGGCTTCCCCTGGGTTCTACTGCTCTTGGTTCCTGTCATTTTTGACAGGAACCAAAGACAGAAAAATATTAATTTTCAAAAATGTTTAGGGGCCCCATGGGCCAGATAGAATGGCCTCATGGGCTGTATTTTGCCCACCCCTGGGATAGAGCCTGTTCAGTTTATGAAAAGGAATTATAGGGTGTGGTTGCCTGCAGCAGGGGGATTAGACTGGCAGATCTAGAAAGTCCCTTCTAACACAGGGTTAATTTACCACCATTGCTCCCACGTTTCAGAGTAAAACTAAAGCAGCTTATGGTGCCAGCAGTGATTACCAACACATTTACTTCACTTAAATGGTAGCATTGGGGGAAACTTAAGCATAAAATACCTAACCAAGAGAAGGTCTGCATGTTTCATTCAGTCACTGGATAAGTGTCACAAACAAGAAATTGGGGCAATATGGTTGCAATTCACCTAGGACAGATGGCCCCTCACTCCAATCAGAGCTGTGGTGGGGGCTGTGTTGAGAAGGTGATGACTCAGGCAGAGTGCCTACACATGGCATGGAGGACCCTTGTGTGCTAGTGCCAAATACACTGCTTATGTGGATTCAGTGCTCCTGAATCTCCATGTGGAAGAAGAAAAGGTGTAGTGAGCATTATTTCAGACCGAAGACAAGTATGGTGACTGTAGTCCTGCAATCTTAGACAAACACTTGATGGGGATGGCTTAGGGATGATCCTGCCTTGAGCAGGGAGTTGGGTTACATGACATCCTGAAGTTCCTTCCAACCCTCCTATTTTGTGATTCTGTAATCTGCCTGCGGGATGTAGGGATTTCCATCGTGCTCAGCCCACCTTTGTTCCATGAGTTCATGCATGAGTTGGAAGCAAATTCTGAGAGGTAATCTGGGACTGCTACTTGGGAACATCCTGTTGCATAGAGGCTACTTGTATTAGTCCATGATAAAATTAGAGAGACTGATGAGATTGGCCATGGATGTGTGTGCTAAAGCTGCTTTGTTCATTAATGAGTTTTTGCTGTTGGTTTCAATTTGTTCATAGCATGTTAAAATGCAAAGGAATTCAAGTACATATGAATTAAAATACATTTATTAGTTATTTATTGTAATAAATAAATGAATACTAATAATGGGCCACTAACTTTCCTTTTTTTCTTACAGATAAAGACTACTTCCTGATTGTTATCCAGAATCCAGCAGAATAAGATTATCCTAAATTAGTCTGTTTTCACCTTTCACTCAATATTTTTTTTAATTTAATAGCCAAAAAATAAAGCATTAGTATTAATTCTATTGTGTTACCTTATTAATGCCTGGAAAAATGAACTTGAGGATTTTTGTTTGTTTACAAAGAGATAAAAGTGTCTCTAACTTTTTTTTATATATATGTAAAATATATATGTGAAAGTCATTCCAAGGAAGAGTCTGAGGATTGGAATCGGGTACCTTGGGCAGTTGGGAATGCACAGATTTCTTTCAGTGGTTAAAAAGATAATATAATATAAACTCTAATAATGTGTTCTAAAAAAAAATTGTTGTATGGTTTACATACTCCTGTCACCTCTGTCTGAAATATGGCGGCTGTAAATATGAAACAAACTTGCCTTGTCTCTTATTTTGTTGTTTTTATGATTTATTTTGCAAAGCTTTTGTGACATCAATTTAATAAAAATGTCACCAGTGATTATTTTTGTCATGTCTCCCTTCTGTCTTATAAAGATTTTAATGGATTTTTTTATCATTGGGTGGATTTCTTAATGCAAGCCTTCGAAAGGTGCAATATTTTTCTGTTGATCTTATAATTTCTATGAAGGACAACTTAAAGTGAATTTGCTCTTTACTTCATAGCAGAAAGTCTGCTGGGGTCAAATGATCCCAGCAAGATAAGCATCCAGTCGTCCAAAGGTATCCAAAGTAGGTGCTTGCACCACTTCTGGGGGGAGTCTGTTCCAGACTTTGGAAACTCAGACAGTAAAGAAGTTTTTCCTTATGTCCAGTCTAAAATGGTCTTCCCAGAGTTTGTGACCGTTAGACCTTGTCTTCCCCTAGTGACCTTGTTTTAGACCTTGTCTTCCCTGGTGAACGGATGTTCTCCCGGTTCCTGGCGCACACACCTAATCTATTTATAGGCCACCACCAAGTCACCCCTGAGCCTTCACTTTTCCAGGCTGAAGAGTCCCGTGTCTCTCAGCCTTTCCTCATAAGACTTGTTCTCTTGTCCTCTGATCATGCGCATGGCTCTCTGGACTCTCTCAAGCTTCTCCACATCCTTCCTAAAGTGCAGAGCCCAGAACTGGGTATAGTACTCCAACTGTGACTGGCACATGCATGTGCACACACATGCTTCTGATTGCCCTCCCCTACTCCCCCCATGCCAAGCAGCCCCTTGCAGGCTGGAATTCTGCATTTTCCAGCATTTTTGTGTTTTAAAGGAGAAAGCCATTATTTTCTCTTTTAAAGGGGAAAATCCATGTTTTTCTGCAGCAAATGGAAAACCCCAGGTCCCTGTTTATCATGACCCCATCCACTGATGTTGTGACCTCATTTGGGAACTGCTGGTCTAGTAGTCAGTCTTGCCAGGCACCTACCTAGATGCTTGTTCAACCATAAATGTGTGAGAAAAGGGTACAAAAATTTTTTATTCACTTTCCTAGTGATCATCCTTTGCTATGAAGGAATAGGATGAATTGCTTCTGTGGTATTTTAATGTACACACAACTTCTGTTAATAGGTCTGGTTCTTCAACAATTTAGGCATGCTGTTGCACGTGCAAAATACATTTGTATAGGCAAGTTGGATTGTGGTATCCTATAAACGCAAGGTAGATATACAATTGAAGTAATTGTCCAGGAACAGTAATTACACGTGCTCTTTTGTATCTAATATGCTTCTCATTCTAAATATATATGCCATGTGTCTTGTAAAACCTCATTTACCTGTTGTTGTTTTTTTTATCTTAATCCCCTCTATAGTGAATTCATAGGCTAGTGACGTATAATATGCCCCTCAATTTTGACCCCTTTCCTGTCCTTCTGTTACAGGAAGGCATAGGGTATCTGGGAGAAGTTCTTTTAACTTTCTGTTGTTTGATTTTTATCCCTAATGAGTGAGAGCGTCTTAGTTTAAAGTCTCCCATACAAAAGCCCATCCTTCCTTCAGGCTTCTAATCACAGTTTTGTGAGGATCTACTGTTGTGTCTCTAATTAAATAAAGTGATGGAAACAGAAACGTTTTATGTGAGGTTGTGCCTTTATACATAATGACCACTGGAAAAGATCTGGTACATTTCTCCATCTCCTGTTTTAATAATGTTTGTGGCTAACAGCCATCTAAATGCTCTTTGTTTATAGTGCAATGGCAATCACAATATACTAGGAGCTGGCCTTTATACATAGAAAAGCAGTTTCTGAAGACAGTTCACAGTACAGGAACTGTAGATGCCTTTTGTTCTTTGAGGTTATTAAGTTACTAAGAATACTCATTTAGAAGTCATCTGTACTCTCTCTGTTATTGAGAGGGCCTTGTGTAATCTTGTGTTACAAACACCTAAATTCTACCATGATGATTTAGCTCATAAAATGTTCTTCCTTCCTCCCCCCAAATACACATAACTATAGCGTGCACTTGAATATAGTCCTTGATGTTCAGTAAATTAATGGTTATGTTCAACAATGATTATTTTTCATGGATTTTTTTAATGCATTTTCTGAATGGCTCCATGGCATTGGTGTCAACCTTAGACAGTCCAGCTCCTTCTCCCATCTTGTAACCTGGGGAAAAAAGGAGCTTGCCACTAGTTTCATCTTCTCTGTGGCCCAGGTCTTTCCAGTTGTTCTGTTCTCTAAGACAAAGAGCTGTCCAGGCTGCACTTCAGGGCTCCTCTGTTCCTAGGCTGCAAACAGGACTCTAGAGCCATATATGTAGTAAAAGTGCCTTTTTCCAAGCACAAGCATACCAGGAAAGCTATGCTTTCTATTGCTGTAGGAACACTCTATTCCAATGAAACATCCTATACAAGTAGCTTATAGTTTTGACTGGATAGCAGAATCTACATTAGGGGATTCTGCCAACCATATCAGGGATCACACCTCTTCCTTTCCTTTCCCAACTGAGTCAGCTATGCCATCAGAAGTCTGTATTGTAGATTATGCTAGCTGTAGCTTCTTAACCCTGTCCTGCTTGTTTGTGCAGTACATGGTTTCTAATCCAATTAATTTCCCCTCACAGGGAGGGCAGACAAGTCCCAGCAAGGTGCAGAGATCCAGATATCTGACTGCAATTAAATTGTGGATTCAGCCACAAAGATGACAAATTCTGTTGTATCTCAGGAAACTGCCAAATGTATATCTGCAAAATTATGGCATCTCCAGGGATTCAAAGTCAGACAACTAAAGGGGCTCACAGTTCTCAAAGCCCTTATCTTGAGTTTTTTTGCAGACTTGGGCAGGCATTAATTTATACTTGACTCATGTTTTACATCAACTTTGCAAGCAGAAGGGCAAAAAAAACTTTATTTCAATGAAAACTGACTGCGAATGGTATAGACAGCTGCCTTCTATATACTCCTGATGTACCAAACAATTTGCCTCTTAATTTTCAGTTCTACCCAAGATATAATGGGTGCTCATTCAGTTAGTTCAGGAAACATATTCGCTAAGTAGTGTTAGAGTATTGCAGTCTGCAGATCTCAGTATCCCTCCTCTTAGACTGATTTCAAAGACATCATCAGTCAGTGGGTTCATATACACATTATTAAATTACATTGCAGACAGAGCTGCTCCTAATATACATCAGAAATTATATAATGCCTATGAATTGCACTGCAATTTAATTTAATTTTCACGGCACAAAATGACTAAATAGATTCAAATCTGAATTTTGACAAAAGACAGAAAAAAATAAGTGCAAGCGTCGTATACATGCTTTATGGTTCATACCTAGAGAACTGGAGATTATGACCTGTTTATGTGCTTTGGCCTTCGCTAGCTGTTGGCAACATGACTTCTGTGAACAATGAGGTATTTAATGCACTGTAAAGAATAAGAACTTACTTTGGGCCAATCCCTTAACATAATTACCCCTTTGATTGTTTTGGGATTTTTTTAAACAGATGCAAGTAACCCTATTGTGGAAGTAGAGGCACAGTCTGGCAAGGTGATAAACATTTTCTGCAAGATGTTGAACAATTGGACTTGCAATGAAATTACATGGTTTAACCCTGCAAAAGGATGAATAGTTCTTAATACCCATTCAAGTTAATAGTTTGGAGTAACAGGGATTTAAAACGTCACTTGGTGTGGATGGAGAATAATAACCCAACCACAGTCTATAGAAAGTTAATTCAGATTAAGGAATGGTGTGAATTTAAAGCTCAATAATGCCATGTGTAGAAACTTACTCTGAAATTAGAGCACCTTGTTCATATTTAGCTCATTGATTCCAATGATAGCTGTAAAGATTAGATTGGAAGATTTTTCTTGGTACCTGAAGATAGAAAATAATTCTGTACCTCCTACCAGCCACCATAATGCAGGTAAAGAACACAACAGGAGATGGAAGTACTATGTCATTTCCCAGCTTTGATGACAGTTCTTAAGACAAGGGCTCTGCTGTTAAAAGTTAACATCAGCTGTAGAACAAGACAGATTGTCACAACAAAAATTAAATATTGTGACCCAGCCCTCTTCTCTAGTTGAACAGTAGTTAGTACAGCATGGGAAGGGCACCAAGGCAGTTTTAAACCACTAATGCACTGCCACGAACCCAGGACTACTTTGTGACAGGCCAGTCCCCAGGCCTAAACTACAGCAATATTTAGGCTTCTAATCTATGGTACCACCAGGGGTTCCCAGCAGGCATTACAGCAACCTGCAATGACTGGAAAGCCAGTCATTCATCCTCTCACCTGGGGAAGGAAGTAGCATAGGAAATCCTAACAACTGGTCCATGCACAAGTGTTCTAACAGCATAGCTCTGCCTAGCAGTGTGATTATTTCACATGGGCATGACTATGCTCATGAAGCCTTGTGTATATGCAGTTGTACTAGAATAGCCATTCTGATAGTGGTATGACCATGGCAGTTCCCTGAAACAGCAGATGCTATAACAGTTTAAGGACAGTTAAACCAATGAAACACCACCCGCGCTAGTGTGTTTTACCAAGACAGTCATATGGGCAGAAACCTCACTGTAGGCTCAAGTCTACGGTACAGAATTCTGTCAGCACAGCTGTCAGGGATGTGAGGTCTGGTCCCTGACTGGCTCAACTTGTGACAGCAGACGCCCTTGCATAGCTGCATTTATACTTCCAAAACTGTACTTATCCCAGGATAGCTTAATTTTCCCAATAGGAGCAGCTGCCCTCTACCCATCCAAAGTGTGTTTTTTGCCAGTATAGCTGGATCCAAGCTACAGACTTGCCTGGTGTAGTACATTAATGTTGCTACACTGGTAAAGCACTTCCACTGTAGACACAGCCCTAGAGGGACAAGACTTTAGGTGGCAATTAAGGATCTTTCAACACAAACCAGCTTTAGAGTGGTGGCCTGATGCTGAAGTGGCATAAAGCCACTCTTAGGAAAGAAGTGAGCCCCCTCAGTTGTCTAGAAAACAGCTGGATCCCTCCTTTCCTCTTTCCACCACTCTTTCTTTTTTGGTTCTAATCTGGTTCCCACAAAAGGTTCT